TATCTATCAATCATCTATCTATCTATCTAACTGGTGATATCATGTAAACTCTTACTTCCTTTATAGGTAAAACACGAATAACATTAATTTACAATTGTGTCCAAGATCTTTCCTTTGAACTCTAGGTCTATATATCCTGTTTATATCATATGTTTATGCATTGTCTCACAGCCCTTCTTCCAAAACACATGATGTTATTGACTGAATTGTTTCCCCTCCATTTCATAAGTTGAAGTCTTAAAACCTAAGATCTTAGAATGTGCCTGTATTTGGAGACAGGTTCTTTGAAGAGGCAATTAATTTAAAATGGGATCATCAAAGTTGGCCCTAATCCTGTATGATTGGCCTCCTATAGAAGAGATAAGGAACAGAGACACATAGACTGAGGGGTGTCCGCGTGAGGACACAGTGAAAAGGGGGCCTCCTGGCAAGCCAAGGAGAGACACCTCAGAAGAAACTAAACCGGCTAGCACTTTGATCTTCACCCCCAGTCTGCAGAACTGTGAGAAAATCCATTTTTGTTGTTTTAGCCACTCATTCTGTGGTATTTAATTACAGTAGTCCTAGAAAAATCATATACATGCCTGAATAATGAATTCATTTATTTTTCCTCACGTCTGCTTTTCTTATCTTTCTTACTTTAGTGAATAGCACCATCATCCATCCAGTTATAGAAATTTGAAATCTTGTTGGTTAGCATAGTAATGAATGTAGATCAGTCTGTGCTCAATCTTCAGCTTCACCTTCATTCTAAGTATCTCTTCCCTTCCACAGGTGCCTCCCAAGTTAAGCTACCATCACCTTTCACTGATATTCTAGCTATAGCCCCTTAATTTCCATCTTGCATTTTTGCTCTTATTCTGCATTCTTTGCACTGGAAATTGTTTTACTTGAAATAAAAATATAACCATGTCATTTTCACAATAAAAAAACTTAATAACATCTAATTGCATTAATTTCTAAAACCCTTGAAGGTTTGCAAGGCCTTTTTAGATATGGGTCCTGCTTACCTCTCCAGGCCAATCTTGCATTTATTTTTCTTTTCAATTTTCTTATTTCCTCACATATACTATGTTTCCTTTCTCAGGACCTTTGCACATGCTCTTCCCTCATCTCCTTACTTTTCTCGTCTTCCTTTCTTTCTCCACATCTTTTAATAACTGCAATTACAGCTAGAATTTTTTCTGAGCTTTATTTTGTGCCACACACTGTCCTGAGAATTTTAAATATATTAGCCTATTTAAATCTTACCATAAACCTACATAATAAGTTTTATTATTTCTGTTTTGCCAGTTAAAAAACTGAGCCACAGATAAGTTATTAAAGTTAAGTTACTTGTTCAAGATTGCAAAGCTGGAAGTGGAGCTTGGATTTGAACTCGATTGGGGATAGGGGATAGGGTATCTCTAAAACTTAGGGTATGATTAAGAACAAAACCTTTGATTCTCTAAATTAGGTGAGGGCAGTCAGTTGGTGTGCTGTTAAGTCTCATCAAAGTTGTCATCAATAATTGTATAATAAATTACTTGATGTCTGTCTTCTGGATCAGAATGTAATCTCCATGGGATCAGAGGCAATGCCTATCTTGGCAGCTACTACATCTCTAAGTATCTGGGGTATGCTGCCATGATGAGGGTATACACAAATATTTGTTAAATAAATACACTGTAATTTTTCCTGGAACAGGAACCCTGACTGTGTAGCTTTGGCTCCCAGCAGAGTCCTCACCTACAGAAAATGCGCTCTCGCTCTCTCTCTCTCTCTCCCCATATATATATAATTATCAATAGTTACAGAGCTGCACTAAAGTTTAATTCCAGGTTTTTCTGTCTGCTTGTATTAGTCCATTTTCATGCTGCTGATAAAGACATACCCAAGACTGGGTAATTTACAAAAGCAAGAGTGGACTTACAGTTCCACGTGGCTAGGGAGGCCTCACAATCATGGTAGAAAGCCAAAGGCACTTCTTACATGGCATTATCAAGAGAATGAGAGCCAAGCAAAAAGGGTTTCCCCTTATCAAACCATCAAATCTCATGAGACTTATTCACTGTCTTGAGACCAGTATGGGAGGAACTGCCCCCATAATTCAATTATCTTCCACCCAGTCCCTTCCACAGCAAGTGGGAATTCAAGATGAGATTTAAGTGGGAACATAGCCAACCATATATCACTACCCTAAAGAAGTGGAAGAATTTTTATCCTAGTTAAAGGATAATGATGCAGATCCTGGGATATTGGTGAGTGTAGGGAGGGGGAAGATCTGAGCTATTTATCCCCATTTTTCTCCTCCAAAATAAGTGTCCATTTTATGTTATAATTCACTGCATTTGAAAATCTCAGGCACATATTAAAAATCTCTCTCTCTCTCTCTCTGTCTCTTTGTCTTTGTGTCTCTCTTTTTCTCACTCTCTTTGGGTAGGCTGTAATAGTTACTTGTTTTGTGTCTTTTTTTCTAGCTATCTTTTTCTTCAAGTTCAGTATTTTTTACTTTAATGCAATGTAACCATTATGGAGACCATGCCTGTCTTGGAGTCATTTTTGTTATTGGAAGAGTTTCTGACTCCTTTGAGATGAGTACTGGATAAGCCATAATTGTACTAGTACAGAGTTTAAAGGCATGGCAGTGCTATGATTGGGTTAATACTTTAATACCTTCCTCCTGCTTCTAATTCATTCCTCCCAAATCAATTAAGAAATGTCTCAGAAGTCCTATTCGTACATCTTCCACATCCTACTGGGGAGAGAGAAACAGGAAAATATAACTAAAATGGTCCCACTACTCTGCACTTAATTAGTATCTGAAAAAATATTTAATATTTAAAGAATCTTTTAAATAATTTTTTTTGAGATGGAGTTTTGCTCTTGTTACCCAGGCTGGAGTGCAATGGTGCAATCTCGGCCCAACACAACCTCCACCTCCTGGGTTCAGGCAATTCTCCTGCCTCAGCCTCCTGAGTAGCTGGGATTACAGGCACGCGCCACCATGCCCAGCTAATTTTTGTATTTTTAGTAGAGACGGGGTTTCACCATGTTGACCAGGATGGTCTCGATCTCTTGACCTCGTGATCCACCCACCTCGGCCTCCCAAAGTGCTGGGGTTACAGGCTTGAGCCACCGCGCCTGGCCCAGAATCTTGTTTTAATAAGCACATGTATAGAAACAGCTCATTGAAAAGATTTCAATAGAGTTAAGGTTTTTGTTTCTTAAAAGAGATTTATCATCATTAATATGTTATTCAAATTATCATTGCAATACAAGTTGCCACCTTCACACTGAACACCCTTCATATTTCATGTAGATCAGAATAATTTTTTTTTTTGCTTAAGACTGATGTCAGTTAGTGGTAAGATTTGCTGCTTGTATTTTATAGGTATATAGTCCCGGCAGTAATTAGTAAGGCAATCATAATCTTAACCTCACAGAAGATAAACTTGAACCTATTAATGTGTGTGTGGATGTGTGTGTGTGCACCCCTAGTTTCTCTTTCCCCAGGGGAGAGGAGAGGTTAACAGGAAGGAAGGAAGGTGGGACATCACATGAATCAGATTGTGGAGGACTCAGTAAATAAGTATTCTAATTAAAACACTGAGTGGTAACCATTGGGAAAATTTTTGTTTTGGTAATAAAGTTATTATTAGGATTGGTGCTTAAATTTACAAAACAATTCCCTTAGACCTTGAGTAAAAGGAATAGTGCTGTACTTTTAAAGTTGTTTATAAAACCACAAGTTGTTTTCTTTTTCCTTCCCAAGCTATGTTGGCAACTTACAGCAGTAGCATAAACAATATTATCAGCAGGTGTATAGAAAAAAAGATAGTGATAGAAGACAGTCTGGCAGCATCAAACAAACAAGCAAACCAGACGTGCGGCTCACAGACAGTGTGATCAGGAAGCATCCAATTATGCCCAGCTAAAGACAGAGTCCCCGTGGTAAAATATTTAATATATTCTGTTCCCGTTGCCAGGATTATCTATAAAGTGACAATGACTCCCAAACTATCTTATTTGGGTACTTTTAATAAGACTGTCTAAATACTTTTAGTACTAATTTTGACGATGTAACCTTAGGATTATCATAGCTTCTTTTAAAAGCTGGATTATAAGAGAAAGAATGCTGTAGATATATTCTCTAAAGTACAAGTCTTATAGCAATTATGTTTCTCATAATTAATAAATTACATTCTATTGTCTACTTCAATTTTCAATGCATTTTAGTTGGCTTAATGATCCCAGAAACTAATAAAAATCCCATGAGCCATTGAAGCATAGACTAAGTTTTTAGAATTCAACAAGCTAACTAATGTGCTTCCTGGTTTGAATCAGCTTTCTCTTGGCTCAATAGCTTGTTTTGTTTTTGGGGTTAAGGTCTTTACTGTGCTAATCTGATGAAGACTATGCAGTCTCTTACTAAATACACACACACACACGCACGCGTGCACACACACCCTCTCCCATAATTCTGTATATTTTTTCTTTGTGTATAATTTCAAAGGAATCCTGGGACTCTAAAGCTTACCCATCTGCTTGAGAATTAGGAACTTTTACCTCAGTGTTTTTGGTTTAAGATTCTCTCTTGCTCCGTTTTGTGCTGCTGTAACAGAATGCCTGGGATTGGGTAATTTATACAGAAAAGAGGTTTATTTCTTACAGTTCTGGAGACTGGAAAGTCTAAGGTTGAGAAATCCAGATCTGCTGAGGGCTTTCTCACTGTATCATCCCATGGTGGAAGGCAGAAACACGAGAGCACGCTCAATGTTGTTGAGCGCGGGGAGAGGGAAGGGGGCTGAATTTAGCCTTTTACCAGAAACCCAGATAAATCCAGCCTTCATGAATGAATCACCCCTTAAAGGAACCTCCCCACACTGTTGCATTAGATATTAAGTTTCCAATGCATAAATTTGGGGGAAACATTAAAACCATAGAAGCTTCTAAATAATGCTCAAAGTTTGATTTTATGCCCAACCACCCACAAAGGAGAAATTTTCATCCACACTCACCATTAGTCTCTGGCAATTGGACTTCCAAAACGATCGAAAAGTTAAACACATCCATCCATTGATTGGATTCTTTAGTCTCTTTGTTGCATGTGGCTGAAATGGAAAGAGTATCCTTTTTTTAAAATTTATTTATTTTACTTTAGGTGCATACTATATCTGGCATTTCTCACCATGTTATCCCTCCTCACCCTCCCCTTCCTCCCCACCCCTCACTATCTCTCCCCTACCCCCCCCAACTGCCCACAGTATGTGATGTTCCTCTCCCTGAGTCCATGTGTTCTCCTTGTTAAACACTCACCTATGAGTGAGAACATACGGTGTTTGGCTTTCTGTTCTTGTGTCAGTTTGCTGAGAATGGCGGTTTCCAGATTCATCCAAGTCCCTACAAAGGACACGAACTCATCATTTCTATGGCTGCATAGTATTCCATGGTGTATATTTACCACGTTTTCTTTGTCCAGTCTATCATTGATGGGAATTTGGTTTGTTCCAGGTCTTTGCTATTGTACACAGGACTGCAATGAACATACATGTTCATGTGTCTTTATAGTAGAACAATTTATAGTTCTTTTTGTATATACCCAGTAATGGGATTGCTGGGTCAAATGGAATTTCTATTTCTAGATCCTTGAGAAATCGCTACACTGTCTTCCACAGTGGTTGAACTAATTTACAGTCCCACCAACTGTGTAAGAGTGTTCCTATTTCTCCACATCCTCTCCAGCATCTGTTGTCTTCAGATTTTTTAATGATCACCATTCTAACTGGCGTGAGATGATATATCAGTGTGGTTTTTAATTGCATTTCTTTAATGACCAGTGACGATGAGCAAAATATGTTTGTTGGCCTCATATATGTCTTCTTTTGAAAAGTGTCTGTTCATATCCTTTGCCCACTTTTGAATGGGGTTGTTTGTTTATTTCCTGTATATCTGTTTTAGTTCCTTGTAGATTCTGGATATTAGCCCTGTGTCAGATGCGTAGATTGCAAAAATTTTTTCCCATTCTATTGGTTGCCAGTTCGCTCTAATGATGATTTCTTTTGCTATACAGAAGCTCTCGAGTTTAATTAGATCCTATTTGTCTATCTTGGCTGTTATTGCCGTTGCTTTTGGTATTTTAGTCATGAAGTCCTTGCCTATGCCTATGTCCTGAATGGTTTTGCCTATATTTTCTTCTAGTGTTTTTATGGTGTTAGGCTTTATCTTTCTCTCATCAGAATTCTTCTCTTTTTTTCCATGAGTGGAGAAGGTAAGCATTGCTCCATCCCTCCATACTCAATCATTGGGATATATACCTCCAGATATTTTATTCTTTTTTCCTCTTGTTATTTTTAATTGATGAGGTTGTTCTGTGTGTATTCTTCTCATTCATGTTTTTATATTTTTATTACAGATATATGTAATCATAAATAATAGTCAAAATTTATAGTTCTTTTATTACATCAGTCAGTAGTCATTATTCTGATGGCACACACACGCACGTGCGCGCACACACACACACACACACACACCCCACACACAAAATTTAGGCTTTACAATGATCCTTTGAGCTAGATACTGTCATTATTCCCAACTTAGTTATGAGAAAACTGAAGCCCAAAATGTTACTTGCCCAAAATCACAGTTAGAAAATAATGAAGCTGTCTCCAGATTTTATATTCTTAATCAATATATTTTACTGTTTGTTCATAAAAGATGAAAGCATGAATGATATCTTTTATTTTCTTTTTACCTGAAGTGTCTGCTTTAACATGTCTTGTGGTGCAAGTTGACTGGTAATGAATTCGTTCATCTTTTGTATGTCTAAAATTTTGTCTTTATTTTCAGCTAGGCATATTCATTGGGTATAGAATTCTAGGTGTACAGTGTTCCCTTTCCCTGTGCTTAAAATATATTGCCCCACTGTCTTCCTACTTGCATTGTTTCTAATAAGAAAACTTATACAATTCCTAAGTTTGTTTCTCTCTGGATAACATGTCTTTTTCTCTGGTGCTTTTATGATTTTCTCTCTATCACTGCTTTTTAGCAATTTTAATTAAGCTATACATTGATATTGTTTTAGTCATGTTTCTTGTGTTGAGGTTCATTGAGTTTCTTGAATATGTGGATCAGGCCTGGCAAGATGGTTCATGCCTATGATCCCAGCACTTTGGGAGGCTAAGGCAGGTGGGTCATTTGAGGTCAGGAGTGCGAGACCAGCTTGGCCAACACAGTGAGACTTCATCTCTACTAAAAATGCAAAAATTAGCCAGGCGTGGTGGCAAGCACCTGTAATCCCAGCTACTCAGGAGGCTGAGGTAAAAGAATCACTTGAACTCAGGAGGCAGAGGTTGCAATGAGCTGAAATTGTGCCACTCAACTCCAGCTTGGGAGATATAGTGAGACTCTATCTCAAAAAAAAAAGTTCAATTTCCATCAAATTTGTAAAAAGTTTAGTCATGACTTATTCAAATATTTTGGTTCTCCAACTCCCTCCCTTGAGGACTCCAAATGAAGTTGTTCTATAGCTTTGTGATGCTCTTTTTATTTTTAAAAAATATATTTTTTTCTGTATGTTTCATTTTGGATGGTTATATTTCTATACCTTCAAGTTTACCAATCTTTTCTGTCACAATGTGTAATCTGCCATTAATCCTGGCTAATATATTTTAAATTTCCAGTATGGTAATTTTCATTTTTAGAAATTTAATTGAGTTTTTTTTAAATATCTACTATATTTTCATTTAACTTTTTAAACATATGGAATATAGTTATCATAAGAGTTTCAATGTCTTTGTTTGCTAATTCTAAAGTCTATGTCAATTCTGGGTCAATTTCACCTAATTTATTATGGCTTATGCTTTCATGCATAGGCTTAATTTATTAAGCCTTATTATGGCTTGTGCTTTCGTGGATTTTTTCCATGCCTGGTACTCTAATTAAAAGCTAGATCTTATGAATTTTACCTTGTTTGGTGCTGGAGAATTTTATACTTCTACAAATCTTCTATAGTTTGTTTTCGATTACTTGGAAGCAGTTTGATCTTTTTGGATCTGGTAAATTATAAAACTGATTTGTCAGTAGGTTAGGAGCACTCTTTAGTCTATAATTATTTTTCAGCTATTGAGGCACTGCCTTCCTGGTCACTCTACCCAATGTCCTGTGAATTAAGAGGTTTTGCAGTCTGGGTTGGTCAGAACAGACATGCTTCTTGGCCCTATGTGAATGTTGGACCCTATTTATTCTAATTATTTTGGAAAGTGTTTTCTTGTCTTGGACAATTTTCTCACACACTTGCATTGATCAGTACTCTGCTGAATGCCCATAAGGGTGAGATGTGAAGGTGGAATGCAGCCCTCTACAGAAGACCAGGGACTTCTCTTTGTACAGCTCTGTCTTCCATAGTTAATTTTTCCTTTGAACACTGGCTGTCTTAATCCTCCAGGAAGCTCAGCTCTGTCTCTTCACCTCACGGAATCTACCAGGTTTCACTCTCAGTTCCTTCCCTGTCATAGTCTAAAATCTTTTTCAAGGCTAATATGATGGGGCCCAACTTGTTTGTTTGTTTGTTTATTTATTTATTTATTATTTGCTTGCTTTTTCTATTGTTTAAGGAGGAAGGGTAAGGGGTAAATTTGATCTCTGTTATTCTATCTTGGCTGGAAATGGATGACTGAATTATATGGCTACATATTTTAATTAAAAATATTACATATATGTTTTTACTTTGTACATATTCTTTTGAAACTTACTTTTTCTACTCAATCGTATATGTCAAAATTTATACCTCCAGACTCTTTAGTGTATTTCCTTTTAACTGTAATTTAGTAGAAATACTATGCTAATACTTCTGTTTCCTTATCAATAGCTTGGCATAGTTTTTAACTAGTTACCATTAATATAATGGAGTAGTTCACACTACAAATGTTCAGGTTTTTTAATCTGTAAAATGCCGATAGCAACAGCAGAGTTGCTATCAGCATTATAGAATGTGTATTATGTTATTCAAAAGGAACAAAGTACACAACAGATACTCAGTAAGTATTAATTTATTCCAACATGGTTTTCTCTCCTTCTTTTTCCCTATTAATTTAATTTCTCTTTCTTTCTACTTTATCTTGCCTTTTTGGATTTATCAAACCAGCTTAACAAATTCATTAAAACAAGTATGTAATTACGGGTCAGCAGTCATTTTATAAGCTACAGGCATGAGGAAGAGAGGCAGTCCAAATGATGCCATGCGAATTGTTTTGACTGAACTTTTTGGTTTTTAAAATTCTGGACTTCTAGGACTCAGCTATTCCGCTAGTAGCAGAAAATATGGGAAAGCCCCTGGGGAAAGGCCACAAATAGTACTTCAAAGCACTGTGGTTCCTTGGAGAGGTGGGAAAGCAGGGCACTAAATTATATTGCCCAGGTGTGCAGAGACTGCTTTTCTCTGTATCTGAATAATTTGCTCCTGGAGAAGCTAATTCTTTTTACATTTTGGTAATCAAAGTTCCATGGATAAATGCTGCTTTTTCTGACTTCGTTTTTTTTTTTCTTTTTTCTAGATTTTATTTAAAACATCTTAAATCAGATCAAAGGGAGCTTGAGGCTGAGCCTTCAGGTATCCAATTGAAGTCACTTTTTAAGCAGTTTCCCCATGACCTGTGTTTCCCTTCTTCCACGATCTGTATTTTGCTGCCAGGCTCATCTTCCTTAAGTAAACTTCGCAGATATGGATGGTTCCCCATTGTCTCCTAAATTGAACACAAAAGTCTCAACCAACTTTCAAGCCTCTACACACTGTGATCTGTAAGATATCTTTTCATATTTATGCTCTAGTGATACCCTTTTGGTACCCTGCATTTCAACTCCATCGGACTTTTGACTTAGGGCTGCCGCAGGGGCTGTACAGTAGTGAACTGCACAAAGGCAGCAGGATAAGGGGACTGAAACTCAGCCTGCGCTCTTGCCTAGCTACACACTTTCAGAGCTGTGGCCGCACAAAAGAGGTGCTTTTTGTCTACAGTGAAGGAAAATGAGATAAGGCCAAGATGGTCCTGTTAACTCAATGCTCACCAAACACACCTTACAATTTCCTGCGTCTGTGTCTTTGCTCATGTTCATTATCTTGTGTAGATTCCCGACCTCTTTTTTCTTCAATAAATTCCTTTTCATCCAACCCACTAAAGCTGTCAAGCTTTACTGCTGACCTGATGCTCATACTTGTGGGTTTAATCTTTTCTCTGGTAATTTATTGGTTGACCTCCCTCTTAAGTCCCTCTTCTTTTGGTTTCTACATCATGTCACTTTCCTTATTTTCTTTTAAAGATTTGACTAGTCACATTTGGGCTTTCTTGGATTCCTCTCACCTCACCTTATTTCTTGACTCTGGAGTGTTATTATTCCTCAGGTTTTTGGTCTTTATCTTTTTCTCTGCCTGGTGTATATGTTCTCCCTGGTTGATTGCATTTTCTAGCATGTCTTCAACTCACATCTATGACTTGACTCTGAAATCTTTCTTGAGTTCTAGACCCATGTCTTCAACTGCCTGCTCAGGTATCTTTTTTTGAGTGTATCCCTAAATCATATGTGTAAAATAGTATTGAATGTCCACCTTCAAAGCATGTCATCAACCTGTATTTCTGTCTCAGTTCTTGGCAGCACAATATACCAGTTTCCCAAATTATAGTCAGAAAATTCTTCCCTCCTCTCTACTGCTGGCAGTTAATCAATTTTCAAGGCAATTCTACCTTTGAATGTTTCTCATCATCCTTTCTTCTTGTCTATCCCAACTGCTATTGCCTTAGTTCAAACATTCATCTTCTTAAGGCTAGACTATTACAAAACACTCCTCTTTTACATTTCTTGTGCTTCTTGATATTTCAACCCATCCTACACACTGCTGACCTAATTATCTTTCTAAACATTGATTTATCATATCCTTATCCACCCCCTGCCTTAGGATCAAAAAAACAAAGCACCAATTAATGGAATGCCCATTCTTGTAAACACAGTGCTAAACATTTCACATACATTTGTTGTCTCATATAAAGTGCATAGTAATCCTGATGCAAAGATAATATTATGTTAGAGATTAAGAACGCTCAGAAAGTACAAATAATTTTCTCACAGAGAAATGGCCAAGTATTTATTTAAAGATGTTACTCTGATTACAAAGCCCCTACCTGTGTTGTAACCCTCACTGCCCCTTTTGAGATTTGTACTTTAATGCAAATATTTCATGTTTTGAATAGCCTTGTCAAGTTACTTAACTTAGGTATAATAACAATTATGACAATATAAAACTCAGAGATTTTTTTCTTAATAAAAATGAAATACATATGAAGTACATTGAAAATAATAAGTAATATGCAGATGTAAGTTAATATTACAGACACTTCAGGGTCCTGATGATACATATTTTCTAAAAGTTTATTGATTTGCCAAGTCAAATTGATTCTTATTTTTTCAGTGCACTCATTGCTGTTGGTGTATATCTCAGTTTATTTTATTTATCTATAATTTTTTTCTCTGCATAACTGAGTTTTTTGAGGACAAAGGCTGTGTCTCCATCATTGCTATATGCCTAGCACCTATCAAATTACCTGACAGAGTAGATGGAACACTGCCAGCCAAAATGAAAAACAAAAACCTTAAGTTTAAATTAATGCAATATCATGAAAGATATTTAAAGCCAGCAAGATATCCTGTTCACCTTCAAAGTCGGTAAAGATTTATAGAGAGCAGAGACTGAATTTCAAAAAGAAGATTTGAGAAAAGAAATCGATAGACAGATTAGATTCTCAATTCAAATATAAACCTTTAAAATATTACTGTTGCAGACCTTTTTAAATAGCCCTTTCAAATTGCCCAACAACAATCATTTTTTTAAAAATCAAGAAATAGACTTCCCCCTACTTCATCTAAACCTGCATAGAAATAATATGCGGTTTGTTCTCAGCTTTTAAGGGTCCATAAGTGTGGATATAAAAATTTGGGTGTTTTTAATATTTTAATAATCTTACTGAAATTGCTTAATTCCCTGGATTAGATGGTCTGGCTAAGAAAATATATTTTCTCCTCCGTGGGCTAGAAGTAAAGCAACACATTTTGAACATAATAGGTAATGACTGGCTTCTGGTGATATAATGGAAATTATTGGAACAAGTTAGGAGATTAAAGACTGTGACTAGAACCCCATCAGATGGCCGCTGTAATGAGCTGAACATATCCTATGTGTGATAAACCTTGGATACAAATGCTAAGTGACAGTAAAAATGAGCCACTGGTAGCACTGGAAAGTGCTAAGTGTCTGTCAACTTATTTATTACTTATTAGTTTACAACTGACTTATGTGAAATCGTAAAAATATTGTGAAATCACAAGTACAGAATGTAAGTTAAAATCTGTGTAAGTGTAAGACAATATAGGGCTAAACATGAATAAATGTAGTTTTGTAAGCAGACAAATTATTTCATATTATGGTGTCCATAAAGAAATACTAAAAGGAAAATTATCATGATGAAAACATCGATACCATGGCATGAAAATTTTAAGGGCATAATAAACTTATTTTTACTAAATGAATGCACCAGCATAAGCACCGAAATGAAAATATAAAACATTACCAGCATCTCAGAAAATTTCCTCATAGATGCTCCCAGTAGTTATTCATTGAGCCCCTGTTTCAGCTCAGCTAAAAGGTAACCACTATTCTGACTTTAATACCACATATTAGATTTCCCTCTCTATGCACTTTATGAGATCAAATAATTCAGTGTGTATTTTTGTCCTTGACTTTTTACACTCTATATTATGCCTGTGGCATTCATCTGTGTGATGGTATATGGTAGTAGTGTGCTCTTCATTGTTATATGGTACCCCACTGTTTGAAAATACACTTAAAAATGTTTTCCTGCTGAGGGACAACTGGTTTTTTTCCCAAGTTGTAGCTGTTACTGATAATGCTGCTCTGAGCATTCTCTTATGTATTAATATCTGTATGTATCTGTTGCTGCATATCTGTACACATTTGGTTGAGTATATAATTAGAGTGGACTTGTTAAACAATATGAATGCGTGTGGTCAGAGTTTGTATAATAGATTCTGTAAATTTTCCAAAGTGATTTTACGACTTCTACTTCAACTAGCAGGGAGTGAGTGTTCCAGTTCTTCCATATCTTAACAGTTGGCATTTTCAGATTGATAGATTGATGGATAAAATTTTAGTCATTCTAGTGTGTACATGGCAATATCTCATTTCAAACTCAGCTATCATTCTTTTATTTATCTCCTCCTTTCGTAGATTGTGGTTTAGTATTAAAGATGCCTCGTTGGTTCTAATAGTGTTATCATTTGGTTCCTTGTTTTGACAAGTTCTATTTTGTTTAGTCTAATTTCTGCTACCAAGTACTGCTGAGTATTGTTGTTGTTTCTGAATTTTATGTTTATCATAATAAAGACATCAATTTTCAATTTCTTTGCAAACAATTTGTCCTGATTCATTTGGTGTGATATTGATCCAATGAAAATTTCAGAGTAAAGATTAGGGGGTTGTGGAGTATACGCTAATTTGGAATGCACGCCCTATGCATATTTTCCCAAGATAATTCAAGGATTTGAATTTATTTTCCTCTAGCACTTCCTATTGGTGGTGAGTCAGAGAAGACTAGCGGACACCAGTCAGGGGCTGCAGAACCAGCAGTAACCAAGCCCTTTTTACAAGCATTTGTATACTCTCCATGAAATATGAATGGTTAGAATATGAGTTTTTAAGAAGTGGATGTGGCTTCTTTAATTGCCCTTTCCCCTCCGCTAACTTAATGCAGATCAACATAGTGACCTTGGAAGATGGTGGCGCCATATGTAGAAACTACCTACTTTTCTGCATTACTATTTCGAGGAGGGTCTTCCACAGATTAGGAATATTCATTTTGAACATTGTAGGAGCGAGCAATAAACTTCTGATATGTTTGGGCCACTTTGAATTTGGGGGTTTGTTTAAATCATCTAGCTTTTAATATAAAAACTGGAACCTTGGAAAAGAGTGATTTCTCCAACAAATAATTAAAATATGTGGCTTTGGCTTGGTAATCACTGGAGGGCAAGAAAAGGCATACTAGAGGCTGGGAAAATGACAATCTATATTTTACAGGAACAAAACATTTGGTAAAACTGCAGATCACTTAGAAGCCAATCAATTGGGAGTACAGCCACCTGATTGTGTACTAGCTGCTTCTTACAACACATGGAAATGTATTATAGAACAAAACAAAAGTTTGAGAAAAACTGGCAGTTTGATAGCAGGAATGAAAGCGGGTAGAAAGATTCTGAAAGCTTTAGGGCTTGTAGAATTGGAAAAATTGTCTGCTCCTACATTCCAAACAGCAAGAAATGAAACTGAAAACGGCGTCCAGGCAGACACCACTGACTTTTGAGACATGGGAGTAAGGAAGGAAAGAATTCATGTAGGCTTGAAAATTATGCTCAAGGAAGAAAATCGGTCCTAGTTACTGGCACATGGAAATACTGGGAAATAAACAAATTAGAATCTACTAAGATTTTGAGGTATTCTAATTGATAAAACCCACATGAACTGGTCAAGTAAAAGCCTGTGACTATAAAACTATTTTCCAACCCTCAAACTGGCACCAGCAGGAAAGAGTTTCTGGAAGTTGTATAGATCCCCAAGTCTGGTTCAGTCTTCAATACTCACAGAAGATAAGGTACCAGGACAGACCTCCCAAGGCTGGAACCAGAGACAAGAGGCTGTGAGGGGCAAGAGAATTTTTTTACCAGAGAGCCGATTTATAGTCTAATCTGGGAATATTCCCTACTGACAAATAGGCGTTACTAATGCTTACCTAGCAGGAGTTAACTATTTCTGTGGAGTTTTACTGTTTTCTCTTTTCTTTTCCAATTGGGAGTTTTTTATTATAGCCCTCCTCTTTCTCCTCCTCTATTGTATATTGAGAGAAAGATAGAGGTAAGCTGGGGAGAAGAGGAGGATGTGGCAACTAGAAACTAATTTGTCTGTAATGTGTAGGAGTCATTAGGACCTGGTGAAGAAGGCTGCATTTCACCAGGGCATTCTGAGCTTTGATTTGGTTAAAGTTTCTTGATGGGATTTAGGAAGGTCTCTCATGGTAAGGGCTTGACTATATCCTATGTGTGAGCCAAATAGATGGCTAGAGGGGTAAACTATTTGAAATAAGGTCAGTGGCTTCTTTAAAATTTGTGTGTCTCCTCCTATAACGTCCGTAATGCGGAGTTGCTTCTAACTTGTGGTTTCCCATCCAGCAAATACTTTTCCCTACTTTACATTTGTTTTCAGCTAGGGATTTAAAGAAGCAGGTGTTCCTTCTTCACTTCCTTTTTCATGTTTTAGTGTCTTGGCTTCAGGGAGCGTGACAGCCCTGAAAGCCAGAAGCATAAGATGGAAGGAATTTGTGTCCTTGAATGATTACTTTAGGGAAAGCTTCCAGTCAATCAGGAACACCTTTGATTTTTAGAGGAAGAAATAAAATTTAAATGTATATGAGCTGTTTTAAGTTTGATTTGTTACAGTAAGCTAATATTATTTAACTAATAAGCAGGGCATGATTTTGTGTTTATTTTTAATGTTACAATAAGGAAGATGTTACAGATAAGAAGTTGTTTAGTGATATTTAGGTGGTTGGCTGCCAGGTTGAAGGGGAGTCTGTAGTGATGTGTCCTGGGATCCTGTCCTGTCTGACTTGCAATTACATTTTGACTGGAAACCTATAAAGGATTGCAAGAGCAATCCACAATTAAAATGAATTGATTATAATTTTATTTTTATATGAGAAGCCAGCATACTTAAGTTTCACGTAGGAAAAAGGAAACTGAATTAACAAGATGAGTAAAACAGTATGAAGAAGATTTGACTCAACAGCAGTTCATAGAAAATATCCTGAAGGTTTTTATTGCTTACAAATACAATACAAATAAAAATACCATGCAGTTAAGACAAAAAATCCCCCAAACGTCTCTTTATATTTTTGATGAAATAAAAGTTGAGGAAATAATAGACATATTTTAATAAGGGTCGATGCGATCACATTTGAGTATTCAGTTCTAGACCCTATATTTTGAAACAAAAAACATTTTCCTGTCAGGTGGGGTGGTGGCTATGTCATGGAGGTTTTCCTAGCCTTCTCATTTTAGAATCATTTGAGGAAACTGAATAGGTATGTCCTGGAGAAGCAATAACTAAAGAAAGACTTAATATCTGCATTCCGAGGTTCAAAACTGTCACATAAAGTTGTATCCACTGTGGCTTCAAATGACAGAAGTTTCATCAGTTCAAAGAAGCTGGAGGGGATCTTTTAAACTTTTTTCTCTGACAGATCTTTCAAAGAGAGTTGTTGTTTCATAAAGTACTGAGGAATCTGTCATGGAAAACATACAGATAGAAATCAAATAGCCCTGTGCCAAAATGATGGCAGCAGAATTTCTTTTTGAGTAAATTAGACTATGTATCTCCAAGGTAGTAGTTCCCAAAATATTCCATATCACGGCACAAAATAAAGGAATATTTGTGACTCACAGTGTGATTAATTGTCATAGACCATTTAAGGAAAGGCAATTGGCTGGAACTGAACCCACCCTACTCTCTGTTGGTGGGAGGAAAGCTCTCTCCACTCACTTTTAACTTTTTCCAGGATACACCATTGTGTTGTGGCACATAAGTTGGAAGAACTTTACTCAAGTCATATCCAAATCTAAGACTGCATGAGTCTGTCTCCATTAGAGGATGGAAGGATGTGAGATAGCCTTTTGTTTTCCCAGCATTAAATGGCTTCCATTTTAGAAACTAAATGACAGGAAATAGAACAAATGTAGATGATATTAATTCTTGCTTCTGATTCTTTTATTATTGCTACAGTTCTCTGATCCTCAAATTTGAAATTGGGCAAATAATTCTGTATTTTTATCATTCCGGGAACTTGTTTCCACCAAAGCAGGACACTACTTCATAGTAAATCAATTGCTTTTTAAAATCTGTGTGAAGAAGTAAGGAGAAACAAATCAGAATATTTGGTGTGTAGCAAAGAAATAAGGGCTTCTGCAGATGAAAGCATATTGTGCAGAATGCTAGAATAACACGATTATGTCCTTTTCAGAGGGAGCTAACAGAGCGACAAGATCTTGGACTATGTCCATGTTTACTTTCCCGTGTCAGTTCTGAATTCTTAGCTGCTCAGATCTAAGTCTTATTTCGGCTAGAAGGATTATAACTATTTATGTCATATTGAAGATATCAAGTAGGCAACCAATTTGTGACTGCATATCAAGGTAAATTATATTATACATTTAGCCATGAGTTCAATTTTAATCCACTAAGAAAGTCTTCCTTGCTAGAGGACTACTTGTCTTTTTCAAAAGCATGGCTTCTTGGATCTCAACTCTTTTGTAATATCTTTAAGGTGAGAGAAAGGGATGAAGGATCTTGTCAGAAAGAGAAAACAGATCTCCCATATCCAATACAAGTTTGTTCTAGATTTCCGTCATTTAAAAATTTTTACCATTGTTAGCAATAATTTGTTAACAATGTTATGGTTATTTTTTATTTTCTGTTTTTTGGTAACAATTGCTATAGTTTGAATATATGTTGAATTAATATTTATTTATTTATTGAATCTTTAAATATTTATTTAGAACTTATTCTGTGCCCAGGACTACATAAGATATTGGGAAGGACAAATGAAAAAGAAATAATTCTTGACCTGAGAGAATAAATGTTCTAGGGGAAGAGATAAATATACATGTTGATGCTTCTGTATAATATACCAAATACTCTGTTCCCATGTATTCAAGATTACACACAGGGCAAAAGGTGGACAGATTAGATGGGGAGAAATTCTAAGAAACAGTTTTGCAATGATGTTGGGCACAGAGCTGAGTCTTGAGCTCTGTGCTCACTTTTATTTAACTTAACCTATTGCTCTAGTCTTCTCACAGATCATCCTCTTAGATAATTTCTAACTTAACCTATTGCTCTAGTCTTCTCACAGATCATCCTCTTAGATAATTTCTAACTTAACCTATTGCTCTAGTCTTCTCACAGATCATCTTCTTAGATAATTTCTAACTTAACCTATTGCTCTAGTCTTCTCACAGATCATCCTCTTAGATAATTTCTAACTTAACCTATTGCTCTAGTCTTCTCACAGATCATCCTCTTAGATAATTTCTATATGTTAGGACAAGTCTGATCCCTGCCCTCTGAATCACTCTCCATCATTTCTCTGCCTTTCCAAACAGGAGTAATCAATTTATCCTTATCTTCTGCCAGATCCTGTTTTTCATCCTTAGGCTCTTTTGCACAAACAATTCCATTGCTCTGTTTTTCAAATTTTCTGTGTTCCTACTGATTTATTTTTGTCTGTGTGATCCATCAGATATTTGAAGGTGTATATTAAATCTTTCATTTTGATAGGGATATGTTGGTTTCTACTTGTAGTTGTGTTGGTTTTTGCTTTACATACAGTCAATTCTCATTGTTTTTTAATAGTTCTGTTTTATTAAGTTGCTGTGAACACTGAATTAGTGAATATTGAGCCATTATTCTGAGGGGAAATACAGGTTAGTTTCCTTTAAGTCTCTAGCCATAATATTTCCATCAACTGACCAATACATAAGTGTGTGTGTGTGTGTGTGTGTGGTTTTATTTAAAGATACATTGTTTAGTACATATTGTTGACTCATTAACACAGACTTTCTGGCCAACAGCATTATAACTCATGCTTGAGCAAAGCTTATCTAATACATTTTCTTTATAAGTTACATTACAGCTGCTAGTGGTTATAAAAACTAGACAGAATTTCAGCATCATACTTGGGGACCGTTTTAAACTGTGAAATCACCAAGCACACAATGTGACAGGCACAGCACTACATAGACCATGAAAAGGACACCTGCTCATAGTGTGAGAGCTGAAACAAGAAAGCAGAACGTCACCTTCCTCAGTCTCAGCTGGGAATGTGCATTGAGGCCAACTCAAATGTTTTGCTACTTTGTACATGTCTGAAAATGACCACAGAAGTTCTATGACTATTGCTTTAGGGTTACAAATAAATTTTAGTGAGTGGGAAAATTTGCAAATGTGGAAACCACAAATAATGAAGATTACATGTATTTGAAACTGTTATTAGATGCATATAAATTTAGAATTATTATACCTTCCCAATGAATTCAACCTCTTTTAAACAAGAAGTGAATTTTTTATTTCTAGTAATGTTATTTGCCTTAAAGTGTATTATATTTGGTATTAACTCTATGTCAGCTTTCTTTTGATTAGCATATGCCAATCTTTTTATATTCGACTTTCCTGTCCTTATGTTTTTTTTAATGTGGTAAAAGATACATAACACAAAATGTATCCTCTTAACCATCTTTATACAAAACAAACATAGACAACAGCACTAATTTGCATGTCATCGTTATGCAGGGATCATGCTCCTCATTCTGGTTTTTGTATATGCGCTGCCCAAGTGAGCACTGCACTTAGGTTTTAACTGTCTTTTATAAACAGCTTTTAGATGTACATAAAAATAGTCTTAAAAAGAAAAAAACTTTAGACTTTCACTGGAAATTTTAGGCCTTCCGTAGTTACTGTCATTAAATATGTGGATTCATTTCTATCCTGTTATTTTGTGCTTTCTGTTTTTCCCACTTTTACTATATTTTTTCTTTCTTTTTTGTCTTTATTTGTATTAATGAAACCTTTTCTTGTCTTCTTCTATTTTTTTCCTCTAACTGTGGAAAGAATTTTTAGCTATTGACTCAATTTAT